ATCACTATATAATCCCTATATAATCCCTATATAATCCCTATATAATCCCTATAATTCCTTCTTTTAAAGGGGGGACCATAAACCCTAAACCAGGCTCGGAATCCAATTTGGGAAGTGGATCCTCCTGGAGAACATCGGTGAACAGCTGGACCCTGCGCTGGAGCCCGCTCTCAACCCAGCTTGAGTAGCAAGCAGCAGTGTATAGTATATTATAGTATATTGTAGTATATTATTATAATATGTTATAGTATATTATAGTATGTTCTAGTATGTTCTAGTATATTATAGTATATTATAGTATATTATAGTATCTTATAGCGACAGTTTTGTCAGCTTCGATGTGTTAATCCCTACATAATATAGTAGTTTCCATTTTAGTTTCCATTATCCCTATATACCCCCAATATAACCCTAAATATCACCAGTATAACCCGAATATAACCCTAATATAACCCTAATCTAACCCCACTAGACTATAACCCTAAACCCGAAACCTTATGGGTACTACGTTGGGGTGAAGGTCCTGCAGCAGCAGAAGATCCGAGATGGCACATCTTTCGTCATCAAGCTTGGCGACAAGAACGTTGCTTGGCGAATATATTGTAATATACCATGATATGCTATAATGTACCTAATGTACCATAATATACCGTTATATACCATAATCTACCATAATATGCTTAGTTGGCAGACTCCCGCCTAACATCTCAGCTCAAGCCCTTTTTGAAGCGGACCTCAAGCGCTGGTTGGGATGTGGGGTGTAGCGGGCTTGGATTAGTTTGCTCAGTTTGCACCCCTATGCGACAGGTTGCCTACGATGACAAGTTGGGGCCTCATTCACTCATGGGATGCCATGCGCCGTGCAATGGAGCCCAGAATCTTGGATCACTTGTCTTGCAGATTCCGCTTCTTCATGACCACTACTCTGGCAAACCCGCACTACTCGCCGGAGACCTCTGTCAAGGCCATTTTGCATCAGTAAATTGTCTTTTAGAATCGAAATTCAGGGTAGGGACTTTAGGAGCATTTAGCTGAAGCTGACTGCTTGGTGGCGATATGCCCGGTGCAAGGTCACCCTGCTGAATTTTGCCATCACGCCAGAGGGCCTGCAGGATGCAGACCAGAGCTACAATGGAGCTTCTATCAATATGAAAGTATATTATAGCATTTTATAGAATATTATAGTATACTGTGATATATTATAGTATATTATCGTTCATTATAGTATATTATGGTAAGGGTCCTAACCCCTGGCAACCCCTCACCCCTACACAGGACGGGTATTGTTATGTCTACTGCAAAAGGATTCTGTAGCTCACATGGATCCATGATTTGGGGGTGTTTCCAGCCCTGGCAGCGACCCCTTGAGGGGTTGCAATGGTCATGAACACATCCCTGAGCTCTCCTACAAAATACGGACCACTTCCTACCTAGTCTAAAAGGGTGTAGGGTTTAGGATCTACGACAATTCATGAGGCCCTGCAATTTCGACATTGTTTTCATTCAGCTGTGAGGACCAGATGTTGGGGATCGTGGTTGCTAAGGAGCAGCCCGAGATGGAGGAAAAGAAGCAGGACAGGGGTTTTGGAGAATAAAGCGTGGGAAATGACATGGAAGCTGAGGTTATACAAGGATTCCCCAAATTAGGGGTACCATTTTGGGGTCCCTATAATAAGGACTATCGGACTATCGTATATTGAGATCTATATCGGGGTCCCATTTAGGGAAGCTACCATATGGGTTTTGGGATTATGTCATCTCAGTATGTATCCCCATGTCTGAAGTTTGCAGTGCGAGTGGTCCATGTGAAAGAAATGTTGTTGCAAAGGCATTGCTGCGCTGTGCCAGTGCTTCAGGAGCTCGTCAAGAACGGAGCTGCCATGAACAAGCAGCTGAAGGATCGGATGTTGACCTGCATTTTTGGGAGATTATCCTTACCAACTGCGTCATGCTGCACCTTCTCTGTTTCAGGACATCGAAGATGAGATTTTGAGGCTGCTGTCCGCAGATGGTGACATCTTGGAGAGCAAGGCTTGGCTCGTAAGCTGGATCAGCACTTTCTCAACGATAAGCACACCTGCTCAGGAGCTGATCGACACGTTGGAATACTCCAAGAAGACCTCTGCAGTCATCAACAAGGCCTGAGACAGGGATAGATAGGACAGTACCAGTAAAGTCCCACATGTAAGAGCTCCCAGGATTGGATCATGTTGGGAAATAGCCATGTGGTAGTTTCCCAACATAGGGGCACCCCAATATAGACCCCAAAATATTATGATCCTTATTATGGGGACCTCCAATAAGGTACCCCTAATTTTGGGAAACCCCCCATGTGGTTCCTCTGCTCTGGCTCAGCGATTGGAATCACTAGGCCATGGAGGAGGCCAAGGTGACTGAAGTGGAGATTGATGAAGTGCGAAGGCGCTGACAAAATTTCGAATTTCCCAGAACCCCTCAGCAGGAACCCACGGTTTTGTGCTTTGCATCATCTTATTTGGACAGGTCCTACAAGGACTACGCGCGCCCGCCTGTTTGGAAACTTATTCTGCCTGGATGTGTATGCAGCTGCTTGGCAGGCTTTCCGTTCTCAGCTGCTCTTCTTTGCAGTCAGCGAGATGAGCATCATCGATCCCATGTGCGCTTGTAGCTGTGATTTTTGATGTCACCTAAAGGGCTGTCTAAAGTGGTTCTCAGCTGTTTTCTTGGTCATGGTGCAAAGCTTGCCTGCCACAACGTGCCCAGGAGTACCTAAATGGGGATGGATGCATGGCTGAATTCCAACTGTTTGCAATCGTCATAACCTCAGCAATAACACAGGAAACGACAACAGCAAGCCGAACAGAACATCAATATTGTTGAAGACTTCAAGTCATGCTTCCCCGATCCAGCAGAATCGTCGTTATAGTCATACCGGCGGCGATGGGTGGTGACAGTAGCATCAGCCGCTGCAGCAGCAGAGTGAGGAGCCCGAGGAGGAATTGTTATAGTGGTAGTAGTGATGCTTGTGCTAGTGTTTAGGGTGGTAGTAGAACAGAAACTGTAGCATGAGGACGAGGAGCATCAGCAGTAGTTATGCGTATGGCGTATGACATGGTATGACAAGGATCGTACCTTGAGAGGTACCAGTTCAGCTTACAGTGGTTTCAGCAACTGGCTGGCCTTGGCATTGACAATGCGCCAGCTGGGGAGACCCCGATGCTTGTCCGCACATCCGATGCCTGTCAACTGGGTGGTTCTCAAACCCTTGTAGACTATAGTCACCCTTAAGTAGATAGAATATGGGGTATATGGGGATCCTATTTTCATATACCCAAAGCCATATTCTATCTACTTCAGGGGGACTATAGCCCTTAGGCTGATAGCAAGTGGGTGATATGCCACTTCAGAAGTCGGGTGCCTGAACATCGCGCAACACAGCCATGCAGAATTTGAGAAGCCCAGGACGCAGCGACTGGCAAGCCAAAACCTAAGCATGAGTTGTGATGAGAGAGCTGCCATTGGTTGCCGTTGGGGAGGTTCCTGCTCTAGGATTGTGCCATGCTGCATGTTCGCTTTACCCTAAATAATAGTTTCCATTTTCTTTTCCGTTACCCCAAAATTACCCGAATATTACCCCAATATTGTTCAATATTACCCCACCATTACCCCAATATTACCCCAATATTTCCCCAATATTAACCCAATATTACCCCAACATTACCCAATAGTGCCCCAACATTACCCAATATTACCCCGACATTACCCCAACATTGCCCAATATTTCCAGAATATTAACCCAATATCAAACCAACATTAAGTACTCTGTCCATTCATCTTGTCTTCTTGCCTTGCAAAGCTGTTTGCACAGCATGTGTGCCGAGACCTGATCAGCTACTTCACCTACTCCATCTACCAGAGCGTTTGCCGTGGCCTCTTCGAGAAACACAAGTCCTCAGCCTCAGTTTCTAGCGGCAAAGAGGCGCTTGTCAAGCAGATGATTCGATCCCCTACCGAGGCTCCTATTCTCCTTCTCACTTACCATGAAGATGCCCGGCTTTATTTACGAGAGACCTTCCTGTGGACCTGCCTTTTCTTCCGCAAGCCGACCAATGCCGAGGATCATGAATGGCGAAGGCCGTCTTGATGCCAATGAGGCTGATGGGCGAGAATGAGCACGGGAACGGCGATAAAGTGAGAGGGAGATTCTGTTTAAAATCTGTTCCTCGCACATACTGCAGAACAAGATTCCCCGTGTTGGGGCATCATGAGGGGTTCCATTTTCTCTTCCCCTATTCCAATATTACCCCAACATTACCCCAATATTACCCCAATATTACCCCAATAATACCCCAATATTAACCCAATAGTAACCCAATAGTACTATATATATATATATGTATATACATAATATGTATATTTATATAACGCAATATAGACTGCTGGATCCAAAAGGCTCGCTTCCTCATGGCCGGACCGACGGGCGAGGTGAAGGCAACGGGAAGCACCCAGCCACGGGGGTTTAGGGTTTAGGGTTTATCATTTTCAAAAAGTGCAAGAAGTCAGTAGTGGCAGTTAGGAGCAGCAGTAGTAGTAGCAGCAGCATGTGTCGTTGTGCTTGTCAGCTTTTTGTCTTTCTGATTGTTGTCTTTCTTGTTCGCTGTTAGTTGTCAGCCAGACGGACATCTGGCATTATCTGGACACCTAATTTTGCGCGAGTGTCCGGGAAGTTGTAGACTTCACAACGTATGCGTTGCGTTCTGGATTTCCACTGGCAATGCTAGCTGAATGGCCAACATTGCTCGTGTGTGCCCATATATGCCTTCGTTTCACAACAATGAAGTTGTCGATATTTTCCGAAAGAAGGCCTCTTGCTTTTCCTCGTGTGCTTTTGCCTTATATTTATATTATTGCTTTTCTAGACGAAGCATGTCCACCCAAGCTTGGTGGTTGCATTGTCATGGCAGTGGGCGGTCCCACCCCTAGCTAGTACAGCATGCATGACAGGATAACACTGCAGCAGCAGTCGACGCTTTCACGTATCTTCATGTCCGAATCAGTTTTCATGCTAAGACCTTCCAAAATGCTTCGGCAAATCAAGCGGTATCTCAGGTGTTGCCACATTCAAGTCAGTACTGGTGAGCATCAACCTAATTTCTGCTAGGGCGGCATTCCCAACCCGGCGGAGAGCTGGCTGACCTCGAAGTCCTGGAACGAGGCTTCTTTTTGGACTCTAATTAAGACTGAGAGCAGTTTTACCACTTGTGCCAACCAATTTAGTCCGCTTTGCTGAAGGTCTTGTCGCTGGCGCAGCTGCCGGCCTTTTCGGGTTTTGATGCCTTCTTCGCGTCAAATGCGGTTGCCCAAGACATGCCGAGCACGCATCTCCTGGGAAGATTGTCCTGTTCTGCGCTTTCGTCCTTTGCTGACTGCTGTGTGGTAAAGGTCAAAGGCTTCCAGAAAATCTACGATGCCCCAGAAGCAGACCAGGACAGAGCAGCTCGTGGCATGCACAAGATCCGCCCCTCAAACATATCAAACATAGCTTTTGTCGTTACCTTGCAAGATGTCTCTGACGTATCGGGCTTTCTTGCGACCAGGCTTTCTTGAGATTGGTTTAAGTGGCTTCAAATCCTGCTCTTCAGACTCATTTCCAGCTGGTGGCAGGAGCCCATTCCTGGTGAGTGGGGCAATCGCATGTCGCCGTTCCAGAAGCTTTGCTTCCTTCGAACGCTCAGGCATGCTTGCTTGTTGCGACAGTGTTGGCAAACTGTGCAAGTCAAGAAGGGTGCTAGGGCATGGATGGATACTCTGAGTATGCTAGAGTTCACGGCATGATCTCGCTTTGATGTCAAGTGCTGCAGTGGGTTCTTCCCTGTTGTACAGGGTTTGCAGAGCTCGGGTTTCGAAGCCGTAAGTGCCAGGCCCGACAGAGTGCAGACTTCTGTGCTGGACTTTGTTGCCCAAGACATGGGCAGGGTACCTAGCAGGGCCAAATTATTAAGACCTTTGACGTTTGCAAGCGCAAGTTGGAGCTTTGAGGTTCGAAGTTCGTTGAGCCTCCAGTCTTTGACATCGCCATCTCCTATGAGGTAACCACGTGACTTGCTGCCTGCCCCTTAGCCTTAAACCTCACTTCATAAACGAACTGCAGGATTCCACAAAGATGTCGCCCCTGATCTTCGTGCTCTCCGCTGGTAGCGATCCTGTCGCCGACATGCTGGCCTTTGCCGAAGCCAGCGGGATGGGCTCCAAGCTGGAGAGCATCTCGCTGGGACAGGGCCAAGGTCCCAAGGCTGCTCGAATGATCGAAAAGGCTCGGGAAGCAGGCGGTTGGGTTCTTCTCTGTAACTGCCACTTGTCCATCTCGTGGCTGCCGGAGCTGGAGCGCATTTGCGAGCAGATGAATCCCGAAGAGACAGACAACAACTACCGACTTTGGCTGACGTCCATGCCAACCAAGCAGTTCCCTGCCCTGCTTCTGCAAAACGGCGTCAAGATGACAAACGAGCCACCGAAGGGCCTGCGAGCAAACGTCCTAGGGTCCATGATGAAGTGTGACGACCGTATGCTCTCAGACTGTGAGAAGCCCGAAGCATACGCTCGTTTGGTCTTTGGCTTCTGCTTCTTCCACGCCGTGTGCCAGGACCCCACACGGCCCGTAAGTAGGGCACGTTGGCTTTGCCAGGGAGAGTGGAATGCTCATCAGGAAGTTGCATCATTCACATCAAGAGCCATCTTAGACATGAAAGATACCTCCAGCTAGATCATGTTCCTGACATGGAACATGCATTCCTCCTGGCCTGAAAGGACAGGCGTAAGTTTGGACCGATCGGCTGGAACATCCCGTGCCCCTAGTGGATGAGGGCACGATTGTTGTACTAGGGTTGTACTGTAGGGGTCCCGTCATGACAACGGGATTAAAAGGTTCACTTGACTTGAAAGAGCTCACGCTCTAACATTCACAAGGAGCAAGTGTCTCGCGCTCACTCATGCTCCATGCCCGGAGGTACAACTTTACGCCAGAAGATCTGACAACAAACAGGAGGCAGCTCAAGTATTTCCTTGACAAGTTTGATGAGATTCCATACACTGTCGGCAGCTCAACCGTTGAACAGAGTCGAGTTCAGTAGGAGGACAGTCGAGTTGGCCATGGGATTTTGTTGGTGTCCTGGTTCAGCACATCTCGCGCTAGATAGTTGGGGTTGAAAATGGCACGGCGCCTGGATTTCCTTAGCAGATGGGATGAAGCCTTGGAATCAAAGATTTGAAGTGACAAGCAATTTCCTGGGATGGCGGCTTTGACTCGGTAAGTTTGATAGTGTGACGTCATCCCCGACCTCGCTTTCCAATTTCAGGCCAGGACATGTGCAGCCTCCTTTTTTCTACCTCGTACCGCCAGGTTTGTCTTCACATTTTCACAGCTGAGCCTGCCTGTTCCCTCTTTGCCTTCATACCCATCATTTGGTTGCTCAATATTACTCCTCAGGATGCGTCAAGGAAGTGAGGATTCACGCGGAGCTGCATTAGGCTCCAAGTCATGCCCAAGCCACTGTAATGCTGGTTTGAGGGACACTTTCCTCACAGTATCAACACAAACGTCCTCGAATCATCCTCAGCTAATTCTACGAAGCTTTATCCTTCGATATCCTTCGCCTTTGGCAATTTTTGGTTGCTCATCCGATGTAACTTGGGGGCTGCCGGCTCAAGTAGGGCAATACTGTTGGCAAAGTTCAAGTTGTCAACGTATGCCAACGTTAATGTCTCGAGGCCATCGGGCCCATGGGACCCTTTGCTGACCCAGGTGCTTCAGTTCCTCGGGTCGAGGATCAATTATGGTGGGCGTGTCACAGACAAAAAGGACAAGGCCGCCCATTGAGACAAACCACGCCTTACGACAGTTTCAGTCCTTTTGCAGCTCAGTCAGACATGACTCTAACTTGTGCCGGCAGCAGGTATTGATCGACTGCTTGATCAAGATCTTCATTTGTGAGGACGTCGTGGTCAAAGGCTGCTGGGGTTGCCCCAACGCGATGGCTAACTCCTGCCCTTTTGTCAGGTGAAAGGTACAAGTTTTCGCAGGGTGGCCTCTTCTACTGCCCCAATGCTTCGTCGCAGGACGCAGACTCGAGGTAGAGGTTCGCACAGATCGGGAGCCGTGGCATTGCAAAGTCTGTCAGGACGAGTTCCTAACCTACTTGCGTGGCCTTCCCTACATGACGCCGCCAGAGGCTGGGTAGACATGTCTGTCTTTTCTGTTTCTGTACGCGATCATGCCCTTTGGAGTGCTTAGTTTGCGGTTTGCCGCCCAAAGCAGGTCTTTGGATTGCATGAAAACTGCGAGATCACCTGTGCAGAGTGTGGACCTTGTTCCCCCACCTTCAGGGCTTCAGTGACTTCTTGGGACAAGTCTTGGGACAAGTCTTGGGTATGCCACCGAAGCCAAGGGCTGAGTCGATGGCCATGCTCTCCGACGTCATGGCTCTCAATGCAGCAGGAGGCTCTGGCGGCCGGAGTCTCGGTTCGGAGGTTCTGCTACAGATGGTATCAGCACATATCAACACTCCCGCGCAGCATAGATCTTGCAGGGCTTCATTGTGCTGCATGTTGACACACAGGCTCCGGCGGCGGCAAGTCCGCGGATGAGGTCATGGACGCAGGAGGCTCAGAAACGAAGCAAGGCCAGCAGTGTAAAACTAAATCAAAATAATTTTCAGAGCTCAGTAGTTCCCAAAATGGGGGGGACCCTAATATTATGGACCCCTATGGGGACCCATACAAAGGTACCCCTACATTTAGGAAACCTTAAAACCCTATATATCCCTATATACCCCTGTATAACCCCTATATTCCACCTTTAAAAGGTATTCTTATTCCTTGGGAAAAACCCAGCTGGGCTCAAGGAGATGGCTGCCGAGTTGGAGAAGCAGACCCCGAGTCCATGGGACTTGGACCTTTGGGAGGACAGGGCTTTAGGGTTTAGGGTTTAGGGGTTTAGGGGTTTAGGGTTTAGGGTTTAGAGATTACCCATCGCTGTACCTTTTTGGGGGATCCCCATAATAGGGATTATAGTCTTTTGGGGTCTATATTGGGGTCCTTTTTGGAGATTTCCCTCGGGTTGGAAAAGACCATGGAGACTGTTATATTATAATAGGGATTATATAGGGGTTATAATATAGGGGTTACTATATTATATAGGGGTCATCACTTTCTTTTGCACGTTGCACGTCTCGGTGACAAGGAGCGTTTCCCAACGAAGTATGAAGAGCCGGTTCCCGAGCAACAGGGAGTGGTTGGTGCGGCACGGCAGGCACATGATTCTTTAGTCCCTGTCAAGGTCGCGAAACACCGTGGTGAAGCAGGAGGCTGCGAAGTATAACAAGCTACTCGCCCTGCTGCGCGACTGGCGTGTTTGCAGCAGAGCAGCCAGCGGTGTGCCCTCTTCATCTCAGCAAAAGTGCTGGCCATATGCGCTTTTGCAAGCAGACGCTCGCTAACTGGTGGCCAGGAAAGCACAGCTTCCCCTTTTCCGGCGTGCTGTGAAAGGTTTTGTAGTGCAGACCTGAGCCTTTTGGTGACTGCACTGCTTTTTGAAACTTCAGCGGGGGTTCTGCCTTGTCACATGAGCTTCCATCCGAAACTTGACCCCTGAGCCATCACTTTTCTACGAGCTCATGGCAGCCAGTCTAAATTCGGAAGCACAGGACGACTCAGTCACTTGCAATCTTTGTGGAGTTTCTCTCCCTGCAAGTCACCAGCAGATTTGGAAGTGAACTGTGATTTCCTTGAGGTTATGACCGACGAGCTGGAAGCAATTGGGAAGGGCTTCTTCATGAATGCCGTCCCCGAAGGCGGGATGGCAGCAACCTGGTTTCTTAGTCTCCCTCAAAAGAGTAGTATTTTATTTGGGGCTATTCTGGTACCAATTATAGAGTCAGACTATATCCTCCGTTTGGGTATAGTATGTTATATAAGGAATGACTTGTAGTAAAGTTACGTAGAAGAAAAGGAGACACGGAAGAGTTAGGTTAAACGCTTTCCGGGACCCAATTTGTATGAGCTTCTCACAACCAGATGTACTCCGTCAGAATTCTGGTTATCTATTAAAGGAAAGTTGCAGCGTTTAAGGCTTTGCCCCTAAATCCTAAACCAACAACAATTCCTAACCCCCTAACCCTAAACCCAAACCCTACACCCCCACGGAAGGTTGGGCCGGCATTGGTTTCCTCTCCCTGAAGCCGCTGACGTCCTGGTACAAGGTGGTTGCCTTGATCATGGGTCCTTCCAGGGTTTGGCCTCCTGTGACTGGTATGGATCTGAAGTGTGGCCCTAACACATTCATATACAATCCTAGCCTTCATACCGGGTGCCCCAGAGCACCCCTCTCCTTGTATATCCCTGCAATCAGGAAGGTCCAAAAAATCATCTACTGCTGTCACCGTTCACACTCTTGATCTGGTTCCAGGCTGCAGAAAGGGCAATTGAACCCCCTGTCCGGCTGCGTCAATGCATGGGTTTCCAAACTTCGGGGTGTGCCTTCACAGGGCTTATGTATACCGGGCTGTAGGAGATGTAGGAGTGCATAGAATTTAGGGTTGAAGGTTTCTCCGAAGTAGAGGTTGCTGTATAACGGAAACCTCTAGCAATAATTTAGCTTTTTTGGCCTGTAGGGGGACCGTGATTTTGGAAAGACCCCAATCGGCTGTTTGCAGGACTTGAACGATCGGATCGATTTCTTCAACCGATGGTATGAAGGAGGCCCTCCCTTGTGAATAATCTTTTAATAGTGACAAATAGTAGGTGTGGTGATGATGATAGTCCTAGTAATAGTAGCAGTACAAGTACTAGCCAAAGGAAGAGTATCAGTGTAGCCGTAATAGGTCATTATAACGGTAGTAGTAATTGTAGCAGGGTCATCGTAATAGTAACAGTAATGGTAATGGTTGTAATTTATAGTTCATAGTCATAGTTACAGCTATTGTTACAGTAGTAGCACTCCTCGTAAGCCCATGAGCGCACTAAATCCGCACGTGCTGCATTCAATCTTGCTTTGGATGTTTCTGGCGCATGTACAGAAGTCAGGCATGTTTTGCAAGATCCCGCGCCAGGCCATCCAATTTCTTTTTGGCTCCCAGGTCTGTTTTTCCCACAGGCTGAGAGCTCAGAAAAGCACAGACTGCTGTGCACTTTAAGACTTTCCTGCAAGTACTTGCAACTCTTGTGCATGCCTGCATTGCAGTTTTGAGGCATTTCTCACTGCAGTCATGCAGAATTTTGCAGCGTCCCCGGCAGTCACCGTGCGAGATTTCTTGCAGTGCACTTGTCACTTTTGGGCATGCATTGGCAGTCCAGCTCACTATACAATCTTGTTGGATTGAATCTGGAAAGGCCCGTGCTCACAAGTACCCAATCGACCGGATCGACTTTGACATCGAGGCATTGCATGCCCAACACAGGGTCTGCCCACCGGTGCACCCTGGTCGACCTTTGCTCCCCATCATGCTCCTACATGGGGAACTGCGTGTCCTGAGTGGACATGTCGGTAGGTTCGAGACGACGTCCGCCTTGATGGAAGTGATATAGCCGAGCATCCTGAGGCTGGCCTTGGCATTTGCCCCTTGGGGGTTGGACCTATAGTATATTGGGGTTTATATAGGGGATTAATTATAATATAGGGGATTATATTGGGATGATGGAAAAGAACATGGCAACTACTGTAGTATAGTGTAGATATATATATATATATGTAAGCCGAAATCTTCTCTGCCATGTTGCAACTTGATGCCTTGCTGCAGGCCGGTTCGTACATGTGCTCCCTCCATGTTTTGCAATGCTGTATGCCTTGTGGACCTATTGAGATGCATGACTTGAAGTCTGCTTCTGCCAGGTATGGACTCTATTTAGAGGGATGTCGTTGGGACGACAACCTCCATGCTCTGGCCCCATCACTGCCAAAGGTGCTTTTCACGCAGGCACGATTGGTTGGAGGGCTTGCTTGGATGCAGCATAGCAACCAGCTTGTGGCAATATGCATCACTGTAATTTCTCGAAATAATATTTACAAGAATCCCTAATCAGGACCTCCCCGAATCCGTTCATAGTTCTATATATTCCTGGAATCTCTAGTGCCCCACCCTCTCCCCACCTCCCCCCAATTTGACAAACATCCAAGAGCGCAGGTCCCGGTCGTACACTTCATCCCCACCTTGGACTTCAAGGGCAAGCCAGGAGTGTATCCCTGCCCTGTCTACAAGGCGAGCGACTGCATGTCTCTCGGGCAGCTACAACATTATCAGTAATGATATGTCCCTGAATTGCAGGCAAGCTTCTGTCTGTCTTGGCAATCCAACAGTTGTCGTGCAGGGTTGAAAACCAACACAATCAGAGCTTAACAGAAGCAAGCTGCTACCCAGTGGGCGGCCAAGGATTGCCATGAGCCACCGAGTGATGAGATCACAGTTGAGGTGTTAGCACTAATTGCTAACATGAAGGTCATCCATATTGACCACATGGGCACAAAGAAGATTAAAGCCAAGAGAGATCTGATGTGCCTTCATCCGGCAGGTGTTGAGCAGAAAGGGTACTTTGTCCACCACTGGCCACTAAGGAATACTTGGAAATGATTTTTACTTTTTTTGCCTAGTGCAACCCTAAGAAACTGCAAAAACGGAAGTTGTTACTAGGGTTCCAAGTTCAGCATAGGCCACAGTACAAATTTTGTTCGGGACATGATCCTCCCGACGGTGGACAACCCGGACGTCCGGGACCTGAGCCTTGCTCTCCACTGGGAGAATGGAAAAGATAATGGAAGCTACTATATTATAATGGGGTATATATATATTATATAGGGGTATATATATATATGTATTATAAAAGGGTATATATATATTATAATAGGGTATATATATATATTATAAAAGGGTATATATTGGGGTCATAGTCCCCCTTAAGTAGATAGAATATGGGGCATATGGGGTGCCGACACTGATGTATATACAGATATCATGTACTTTGCTGAAGAGTGCATTTAGCATTTGAAAACGCACGTGTAGTTTCTCTATAGATGCACGCAGTTACATGAATACTGCATGACATGTCACCTGAAAGTACATTACCTTCATTGCATGTGCATGCACAGCTGTGTGTAGTCGCTCTTCTGGATGGCTGAGGTGTGGATCCGCGCAGGAGTTGCGGCCTTCCTGGCCCTGAAGTATTAGGTTCTTGCACGACGAAGTCGCATCAATTTCAAGAGAAGGTACAAGTAGGCAAGACCATCAGACACAACACAGGCTACCAGCCACGCCAATCAAAGATGTTTCATGTCCACTTCCCCTTTAAAGCTCATGGTTTCCAATTTTCTAGGCTCTCCTGGAAATGTGGCAAACTCAGCTACATGACAGAGCAATGCCTTGCATGTGTACAGATGGCATGTCCCTGCCGGCAACAGGAACACGACATGCTGAGCTTACACGCCACAGCAAAGACCCAGGGTGCGCCTGCAAATTCTCAGCATGTCCATCGCCGCCCCAGACTCCGTTAGGAGGGAGTGTGTTCCCATAGCGTTTCACCAGTTTGCACCAAAGAACGGCTCCAAGCCATGCCTGGATGGGCCTTGGAATCCCTTTGCCTGAGGATGACGCGTTCAGATCCACGTGTTTCAAGGTGCGGGATTGCAGGGGCTGTCCCAGCTCGCTCTTTCAATCAGCGATCCAGACACCAGCAGGTGCGTGTGTTCCCGAGTGTCTCACCTGTTTGCACCGTCAAAGAATGGCTTTAAGCCACCGCTGACTGAACCTGAGACTCAAGCACAGCCACAACTTGCAATAGCCCCTCACGAGGGGGTACGGTCTCATGTGAGGTTCATTCAGCTTGTCAGTGATAGAGAGCCTCAAAAGTGAGCAAGCAAGTACAAAAAGCTTCGCACGCATGGGAGCCACTTGCAGTAAGCCACAAGTTTACATTGTGCAGGATCAGCGTTGTAGGGTTACTCTGATGGGTCAACTTCGCTTTTGGGCTATCCTTGCCTTTTGTTTAGAAGGTGATCTCAAAACAGCCCGAGACATCATCAACAATATTCTGTCTGTTTTCGAAAGTTTGCTGTGCTGCTTGCTTAACCATGTGAGATATGACTTGCGGCAGGTCGATATTTCTCTTGCTTCTGATGCGTGAGCAACAAGAAATTCAATTGAAAGGGAGTACTTATAACATCAACACCCTCTAATCACTTCAGGGTATACACAATCAGAAACTCCCAAATCATACAGTGTGGCTATGGCCTTTCCCAAAGTTTAGGGTAATGAAAGGATAAGACAATGCCCAATCATAATACCTAGCTGTGACTATTCGCAAATCACAGGTACAAGGAACCAGAATGAGCAAATCACAGTACTTTGCTAAGACGATGCCCAAATGCCAGGGTTCAAGGAACCAAGGGCGAAATACTAATGCTTAGCTATGACTATGCCCAAATGATCCCACATGTCAGGGTACAGGGGGCCAGAAAGGGCGAAATGATAATACTTAGCCATGACTGTCCCCAAATTACGGGGTATCTTGGGGGTGTTTTGGGGGGATCTTGGAGGTTTTTAAAGGAGAGGTTTATGTAGGTTCCTTTAATGGGCGGTGAGGGCTGGGCTGCGTGCTCTTCGGGTTGTACATGGTGAGTCTCTTCACGTCCTGTGTCGCCACTCCTGTCCATTACTGAGCTTTCGTCCCAGCCCGTGGCTCTCAAGTTGTTTGGCCATGAGCACCATCCATGCGCGTGATAAAAACATAAGTTAGTCTCTGACCGCGACCCGAATCGGGCCTGACCCTCTCTGGATCCGACATCATAGCAAGTGGCTTGCCGCTCCAGCAGGTTGTCCAATCAGATATGTCGGAACCAACACACACTGCAAGCATCGATGGTTTGAATGAACACATCCTTACCAGCCGCCAACGCAACAAATCTCTGGGGCAGCTTTCCGATGCAAGCAAGCTGCTGAGGACAGACGTTGGACGTCTTGTGACCCTCTCGATAAACACGCGCGTACATTGCGAAAAACATGCGGCGATTTGCAAGAAGTTTTCCGTTATGCGTTTCGTGAATCCGTAACGCAAGCTTGCCACCAAGCACCCGAACTTTCCGAGAAACCCTGCGCATGAAACTGGAGACGAATTAACATTGAAGCCCAACGATCTTACATCTGCGGGCCCCTCCACATTCAGAGTTTCCAACACCAAATCATGACCAGTGAATTGAAGCGGACCACATCGAAATCCTCAAACTCATTTGAAAGCCGTGTCCCATCTGTGATGTCATAGCTTCCAGACACCGGAGGAGACTGGTAGAGAAATTAATTTCCTGCCCATGTGCTGTATGTGCTATCGGCTTTTCACACCCCAAACAGCATGTAAAGATCTCGCTGCTGCGTTCGTCTCAGTCAGGGTCAGCGGTGTGCGCATGCCAGCCTAGCGCCTACCACTGCGGAGGGGCAAGCGGTTTTCCTGCGCAGGCTTGGTCCGCCCGCTTCTCCTTGTGGCCCAGCTGCCGCTAATCCTGGATTTATGGTCCACGGATTGCGCGGGTGATCTTGGTGGCGCATTGAGTTGGCTGGCTGCCGGGGACCTTCGCAGGAAAACCCATGAGTCTTGACGGCACCAGCAACCTGGTGTCCCAGGCTTGTTGATGTGCACTTTTTTGCAAGTGAGCGCCATGATTCCGGTTACAATAGGTCAGGCCCTGGATCTGAGATTACGGGCTGACACGCGAGAGAGAAAAAGGCAAGGAAACCGGCCTCACAGCCAACTATGCCTTGCGGCCCGTCACAAACAAACGGCTGGTCAGCCGGCAGCGCAGCTCCAAGTGGAGCACGTGTTTCGTGAACAGACCTAAGATCAACATACCACGTTTGCCACGTGCGTCTGGCCACGTGCGTCTGGCCACCTGCGCTCGCAAATGCCAAAGGGTTGCGGATGTGAGCCGGCAGTCGGCTAACATCTTCAGGGGTGCCACAGCACATTTTGCAAGTATTACCGCAACGGCGCATGCACAAAGGGTGACGATTGGCGTTGATCTTGTCTTGGGGGCCAAACGGCCACAACGCCTTCGACTGGTACAGTGCTCCGGGCAACACACGCAACACCAACAACCCTGGTCACCAGCACGTTTGCACCGACGCGCCAAAAGAACGCGTGGCTTCAGACCTGGGGGCCCAGATCTCGTACACAAGCAGTCCGTGTTGCAACAGTGACGCGGGCAAAAGCCAGTGTCGTAATCCGGCGACATCAGCTCCCGACGATCAACGACCCTACACACACGCTTGCGTCCAAGTGGGTCAGTGGCAGGCTGCAGGGGCTGCGGGAGCCGTGGCGCGGCACTCCAACAGCCACAGGTTCGGCTGCGACAATGCTGTGGGGCAAGAATTTTCGTGTGACAATGAAGCATTTCCCCCCCAGAACTTGTTTTGCGTTTTTGGTTTACGGAAAGGGGGGGGGTTGCAATCATAAACCGCAGGGACATGGGGTCGTACGAAGTAGCACAAGTAGCAGTACAAATAGTACGGTATAGTGCATTATAATATAGTAGAATGAAGTATATTGCAGTTTTGGTTATAGTATATAATGTACTATAGCATATAATAGTATACCATTGTTTAGAATAGTATAGTATAGCATAGTATAGTATGGTATGGTATGGTATGGTATAGCGCAATAAAGTACAGGCCGGTCAACTTAATTAGATAAGATTTCGCCTCAAAAAACCTGATGATATTCGGAAATTTTCGGACGAACAATATTATTCCTTCCACCCTCGTGTTATTGCCGAGGGACCTTGTTTAGACTTTTTCGGGCTCCGAACATGTTAAAGAGCAAGCTTGATTGCCCGGGATTTTTCTGGCGTGGCAACAATATATGATTGCCACCCCCTTTTACTATGTGATGCTTACATTAATTCCAATCGGGTCCCTGGCACCAGCCAATATTTTTTTGGGCACGGTCCTTTCTTGGATGATTCGTGGTCCCAGGTGCATGGTGGAGCTTGGCAGGCCCGAATCCAAGGCGGCACAGACAGGGATGACCTCATCACCCCCCGCCTGATATCTTGTTCCGGAACAAGGAAAATTCATTCAAAATAAAAGGACATGACGAAAATCAGTCATTTGCTGAAAGATGAAAAGCGTAATGAAGATCTATGACAACATGAACGATGAACAGTAGCAAGCATGCATAGTCTTAGAAACGGGGTTGGGGGCAAACTTGGTGATGACATGATGCTTTTGTATCGCAAGCATGGATGGCCTGAAAAGATGGCGGTGTTGGAGAAAGCGCAGCCTACTCCCCACTTGGAGGAAAGTGTCCTGTTACGCTTACGCGGGTTTGGCTGCACTCGCCATTGCCAGCGCAACACAAAAGTAGAGTACTTGATGTTTGCACCGCATCAAAGCTTTTGTATTGTGTGCATACCGGTTGGCTCTACGCGCAAGCGTTGCGAAGGGTTGATGCATTTCAAGCTCGGTGCCTGCAACGAATATTGGGCATCCCACATTTTTTTCATCAGTCAAGTTGCCAATGTTGAGGTTCCGAATCGAGCTCAATGCCACAAACCTTCCCAAATTT